CACCAGTGGCCTGTAACTCTGTAAAAGGGCACTGCTACCTAGTCAGGAGGTGAAGGGAAATGAATAAAGAATCCTTTAGCTGAGCTGAGTATGGTGATATCATTTGTAAGAAAGGCAGACTCAAACCCAGTCTTGGTATGAAGACCACAGGTTCAATCTCTTGAGTCACACAAAAACAATCTAGATGAGGGTTGATGGTGTAGCTCAGTGGCAAATCATTATGATAAGCACTAAACACTCCATATGGACAAAATACAAAAAATCCTAGGTGACAGGAATTTTTCAGCTCCATTATAATCTTACTGAACCACCGTCAAGTATATGGCCTATCACTGACGGAAATGTCACACAAGTGTATATAAAATATTTCTGCATGCCTGGAAAACTTATTTTCAAATTATTAACATACACAGGACTGATATCAAGAGATAACCATGTCATATAAAAATACTACAGTAGGAGCCAGGTGTGGTGACACACACCTATAATCCCAGCACTCAGGAGCCTGAGGCAGGAGGATCATTAAAAGTTCCAGACCAGCCTGGGTTACAAAGTAAGTAATGCCAATTGCATAGTGAGACACTGTCTCAAAAAGATAAAAAGAGAGAGAAGACAAATTGGAGAATCTCAGATGGTTAAAACCATACTGGATAACTGGATGGTAGAGAGAGATTATATATTCAAATTTTATATGGCCTATGCCATAGTTTGAATCTTAAATGTCTACTGGAAGGAAGCTCATGTTAAAGTGTTAGTTGCTACACAATACGGATTCAGAGGCTGGGCTCCTGGGAAGTGATTGGATTATAAGGCTCTGACCTCATGAATGGACTGATCCATAGATGGGTTCACAGCTTAATGAGCTTTTGGGAAGTAGTGGAGACTTGGAGATGGATCCTATTTGTAGGAAGTAAATCACTGGGATTCAGCCCTTGAAGGGTATATTTTGCACCCACTTCCTCCTCTTGCCCTCTTTCTTCTTCCCAGCTGCCAAAAGATAAACAACTTTGCCTCACCACACAGCTCTGACACTATGTTTGGCCTTCCCTCAGCAGCAAAGTAATGTACAACATGACTAAAACCTCCAAAACTATCAGTAAAAACCAACTGTTTCTCCTCTAATTTGTCCCAGGATGGAGAGCTTCTATGTCTATTTCCTCACATAAAGAAAAATACACTATATATTTAAATCTTTCTATTTTTATTCACATTTGGGGGTTGGTTAAGACAGGGTTTTGCCATACGGTTCAAGCTAACCTTGAACTCACTTTGTAGCCCAGGATGGCCTTCTTGAACTCACAGTGATAATCCTGCCTCCTCAGCCTCCCAAGTGCTGGGAAATCAGGTATGTACCACCACTGCCGGCTCTTACTCACATAACTTCTAAGCAAGACCTTAAAGCTGACTACTAGTGACTACTATCCTGAGCGTCCCTGACAGTCACTGACTGTGACCAGGTTGTTTAACCTGATAACACTTTCCTTTTCTCAACACACTTACTGATAGTGTTATCAATAGTGTTTTGTTTGTACTACTAAGGATGCTTTAAAGCACATGGATATTATACTGCTGATTTCAACTTTCTGTGGCACAAGTCAATTGTGTAATTAATAATCCCTAATCGATAATTTTGAAGCCGTGTTTGAATTCTCAGACCAATTTCATCCTCTTTGCCATCAGAGAGCTCTGTAAGACCTGGATCTCAAGTTAGAGTTAGTTTACTCAGACATTCTTAATTTTGTTTTCCAGTACTGGGGCAAGTACTTATCACAGGCCTTGCACATCCTAGCCTAGCATTCCACTCCTAAACTATAGCCCCACCCCTTTTTATTTTGAGACAGGGTTTGATAAAATTTTATCAGGCTCAACTTTAACTTGTGACGTTCTTGCCTCAGTCGCCTGAGATTACAGGCTTGTATTATCATCCCTCAACTAAATAGTTTTATGCTTATAAAAACTACAAAAAGTGAAAGAACTATTTAAGCTGAACCATACAATCCTGAAATTGCAAGAGGCATATACTATACCTCTATTTCATAAACAAAGTTGAAAACTACTTTTTAATTGTAGGGAAAGAAAAGAGAACCAGTCAGGGATGGTGGCACACACCTATAATCCCAGCACTAACAGAGGCTGAGGCAGAAAGATCACCATTGAGTTCAAGGTGGTCTAAACTGCATAATGAGATAGTGAGACCCAGTCTCAATCCATACATACATACATATTTTAAAAAGGAAAGAAAGAGGAAGAAAGAATCAGTATTCCCCAAAAGCCCCATTCAAATTCTGGCTTCTTCCCTTCTAACTAAGTGGATTTGTGAAGCGAGTCCATCTCAATTTCCTAATTCCTACTTAACCACACCCACCCTTCCTAACTCCTGGAGCATCTGTGGGAAACAAATGGCCTTCTCACAAGGGAAAGCAGAGGCTCGGAGAGGTGACCCTTGGGCCCTCTGGCTCTCTGGCAAACCTCAGCTTCCACAGCTCATCCAACCAACCTTTCACATTCAAATTCAAATCCCCCTTAAGAACTAAGCCCCTGTGGCAAGAATGAGTATCTTATACATCTAACACTTAAGATACACGTGTCAATAAAACTGCCACCTTCAACAATGTTCACATACTACAGATCAGCATTCTCCATAATTTTGTTTTTCATTCAAAGACAATAAGTTTTTCAACTGTCCCTGCCCTGGTTTTACTGCTGCAAAGACACAAGGTTCCCAGAATGTGCAGAGCACCTGTTTCAGTAAAACTGTGCAAATGAGTTTCATCTCCCACCAAATGCCTGCCCCACCTCAAAGGTGGTAGAAGCCCCTAAAGGCCAAGCATCTTCTCTAGTGGCTGGCTGTCTGTCCCTGGCCTTTCCTGACTAGAAGTAGTAATGGCTAAGTCCTATTTTACCCTCCACTCTATGTCCTACCCCTCGGAGGTTCCCTGCCTATCCTCCCCCACCCCACCATCCTCTGGGGGAACTCAGACTGGCTCCACTGGTTTGGGTTTCTTTTTTTCCTTAAACTAATATATTTCCCCAACCACCTAAGGTTTTCAAAAACAAGCCTGGATTGGACTTCCTTTCTCAGACATCTACTTTTTAAGTGTTTTCTTCTGTGGGTGAACAAGTTCCAGATCTTCTCCCACAGTCTGGCCAGCAGGGTTGGGCCCATGGCCACCCTGGTTTACTCCTAAGGCTCCTGTGCCAAAGAGAATCAGTTTGTCAGAAAGCACATTGCCCCTGTGGACTTCCCACATACCCTATGACATGGTGACAAGAAGCCTTCAGATTCTCCCACTCAGTTTAGAATGGCTACTTACTGTGGAGGAAATACAATAGCTACGAAGAGACCTGGAACTCCCTTCAGATTCCTCCGAGCTGGAACACTAGGGTGTGAGGTCAAAGCCAGGTGGCTCCAGGCTCAGCACTGGGAGGACAGCTGCAGAAGAGTGCCTACCACTGTGCCAGCTGTTCTAGGCAGCTGCTTTCAGGCCCTGCCTGCCCCTTTCACCTGCACCAGAGTAAGCACCTGAATCCCTGAATCCCTGTACTTGTATCTTCTCCCTGGATATCTGTCCAGAATCCAAAGAGATACTGTCTTCTTGATGTTGGTGGCTAAGAAGGTCAAAGCCAAATTTGGATCCACCTCTACCAACTGTGTATGACCCTGGTCCGGTTTTGTCACCCTTATTTCCCTTTTGGCCCAGTTTCTTCTGGTCTCTAGTTAATCCTCTGGCATCCTGTGTTCTGCAAGCTAACTCAAATCCTTTCTAGAGTAAAGCAGGGCAAATACATTAAACAGTCATAATCTCCAGTAATCACTTAGTAACCCAATGCTTGCAGTACATGAGGTGAGCAGCCGCTGCATGAGGACCTTGAGGTGAAGGGCTCACTAACGATCCTCTGTGAGAAGACCGGAACCACACGAAAGCTTGCTGCCCTGCCCAGACACAGTGCCAAAGGCATTACTCAAACAGATATGGCTGTCAGGCAGTTTGGTGAAGATGAGGATTGAATGGTAGCATTCACCTGAGGAAAAGCCCAACACCAAAACCCTGGTTCTAGAATTAAAATTGTTCTGATTCATTAAAGCAAATTAGTAGGTAACAAGAATTTATACTCTGATTTCCTTCCTTCCTTTTTCTTTCTTTCTTTTTTTTTTAAGAACAGGGATACTAGCAGTTAAAGTCCCACCAAAAACACAGAGTTTAGTTCATGGTATATCACGACAGAGGGTACATCACCAAAAGTTGAGGAAGATCAGCAAAAAAGCAAAGACTATGGAGGTAGGCAGGCATTGCTGCCTCCCACTGGCTTCCAATAGAGGCCAAGCCAGAGCAGGAGAGACAGGAGGAGGAGGAGATGTAGCCCCAACTCCACCCACATAGGACAGTAGCAATTCTTTTTTCCCTCAAACCTCAGCCTTGTATCTAGGATCTTCACAGACCCCTTCACAGACCTTTGACATAGCAAGGTTCCCACTATTTTCCAAGAGCTTTTGTAATTTCTTACAGCCTATGAAGTGCTATGGTCAGTCCCACAAAAGCTGAGAGGAAGACAAAATCCCTGGCTGTGTGAACAAGTAGAGTGCTCTTGTCTGGTTCCCAATCCAAGTGGCTCCTACTTCTGTGATCTTGGGTGAATCTCTCAACCCTCTAAGCTGAGAGGCCTCCTACAAGCAACACAGCTTTGGCCAATGATATAGTCCCAAGTGCCAACCATGTACCAGGACCATATGAGGATAGCTAATTTGGTTAAGCTGAGGCCTTAGGGGTGGGGAGGCAGCCAATATGCCCTGAGCCTTTAAGAAAACATGAGCATAGAGAGGCCAAAGATCTAAAAGTCAGAAGCACTATCTAGTACCAATACCTCCCTTTTTAGCCTGGGACACTCCCCCATACTCCAGAAGTCTCAACATCTCTACTTGCATGTCAGGTACACAATTTCAACATGTCCTCCTCAAACCTGCTGCACCCGGTCTCACTCCCAGCACCCTGCTCACATGCCTTCAGTAAGTTGCTCCGAAAGGCCTGGCCACTTCCCACACTCCTGCAGCACATGGTCTTCCTCTGGACCAGGGCAGTATCCTGTTCCTGCCCAACCCCACATATAGCCAGAGCGATCCTCCTAATCCTTCTCATCCTTAATTCAGTTGGACTCTGTCCTACATTCAAACCACCTCTCCCCAGCTCCCCATCTGGGTGAGTAAAACCCAACAGGCCTTTTGATGTGACCCAGGCCACATGCCAGTTCACAGAGTAAAGCATGTGGTCTGTGACAAGACAAATACAGTGAGGCGCTTTTTATAGCCATCGGACACTGCTACAACATCCAAACACTGACACACAAGTATCTGACCAGGACAGACTAGGAATTAAAGGAATGTTCCTTGGCAAAAGTAGTTTGAGCAACTCTGCCCTACGCCTTCTACAGGCCAGACTTGAGCATGTTCTACTGCCCTACCAGCTACTCTCCTTCACCAGCTCCAAAGATTAAAAGCAAGGTGTGGCTAGGAACTCAGGAAACAATGTGTCAAAGGGAATGTAAGAGCCTAGAGCACAGGTGGGATGAGCTACAAAGGCAGAACCTAAAGCCTTGCACTGTGGGCAGACATGAACAGACCTGAGATCTGAGGTGCTTTTGTGCAAGGACAAGGACCCAGACATACTGTGTGTCTGTGTGTGTGTGTGTGTGTGTGTATGAGAGAGAGAGAGAGAGAGAGAGAGAGAGAGAGAGAGAGAGAGAGAGAGAAGGAGGTGACACCAAGGTCAACCAGGGAAGGCTTCATTTGCCTTGACAAAAACTCAGGTATGACCTGCAGGCAAGCTGGCATCTAAGCTCTAGAACCAAGAGCAAGGGTAAAAATGAGGCTGGATATAGGTATAGGCTAACGGGAAAGAAATCAATCAAAGCCTGGCACTGTGGTACACGCCTGCAATCCCAACACGTGAGAGGCTGAAGTAGGAGGATTGCTGTGAGTTTGAGGCCAGTGGGCTACAAAGTGAATTGAAGGTTAGCATGAACTGCACAGCATGACTCTGTCACAATAAAGAAATGGAAAAAAAATAATCAAAAGATTAGCACTAGTCTGAAGTGACAAAATGAGATTAATAGACAGAATATGACAGATATCCATGGTCAGGGCAGTGAGAAAGAGGAGGGATGAAATGACATCTAGTTCATGCTAGAAAGCAGTCCCCAAACACCAGCACATTACTACCCAATAAGACAACAGTCAAACGCATGAGACACCATCCCACTATGGCTGCTCTCATGCAAGGAGGCTTCTCAGCAACTGGTTGCCTCTGCTCCTGCAGGGTATGGCTAGATTCCAAATGGGTGCATTCCAAATCCACCTACCTAACAGTTAACACAAGAAAAAACAGAAAAGTACCTCCATGGCATCACAGGACAGGTGAAGAATATGGAAAGCAATGCTCATACCAAACAGTTAAGGATGAACTGCAATTCCAGGTAGCACTTGTTGCTGAAAATTCATCCAGGGTATAAAAAATTATTAAATAAAGACAATGATTTTTATTTTTAATTCATACCAGAGATGAAAAAGAATAGAGATTCACATGGACTGTATACCTTGAGCAGCTTGCCTGATTTGGGGGTAGCTATCCATGCAGAATGAATCACACAGGCAAAGGTACAGAGGGAGGACCAGAGAGGGCCCAACAGAAGATAACCAGGCCTGGTTTTAATACACAAATGTTGTCAGGCACAGTGGCACACACCTGCAATCACAGCACCTGGGAGGCTGAGGCAGAAGGATCACTACAAATTCAAGGCCAGTCTTGGCTATATAGTGAATTTAAGGCCAGCCTGAATTACACAGTGAGACCCTGTCCCAAAAAAAAAAAAAAAAAAAAAAAAAGTATGTCCCAAGAAAGCCAAAACTACAGGGACAGATAAAGAAAAATGGACATGTAATTCATGTGCCCATTTAAATAAGCTTTGACCTTGACATTTTTTTCAGCACAAAGTTGGTCCTACTTACATTTTTTTAAGATCAGTGTAGAAGAAACCAAAATCTTGTATAAACTGTTAGGGGAAGACAGGAAGATAAAGGAAAATATCTCAGGGCTAAATACAGTGATCACACAAACACCAAGTCAAATAAAGCTGTAATACTAATAAAGCATGAATGAACAGTAACTCTCCAGGGCTGCTTAAGAGGCTGGCTACCTTACCAGAGAAATCACACAAAAGCTTGCTGTCGGAGCCCCTTTGGTCAGAGTAGAAAAGACAGCTTTCTTCACAAGCACAGACCCCCACCTTCAACCAAAGGAAGGTTAGACTGAGAGGATTTTCTTATAGGCAACAGCGACAACCTGTTTCCAGTTTAACCTGCACCAGTGTACGCTCTGACCAGGATACATTATTTAGTTAAAAAGAGAAGCACCATTTTTAGTTACTCATTGAATTCAGCATCTTCAAACACGATAACCTAGAATTGACAGTACAGCTAACTCTCTATTTACTGTGGTTAATAGGGATTTCAGGAATGACAGCAATTGACTGGGAAGCAAAAGCAATCCTAATGGATAATCAGCAAAGCATCAATTATTGCATAAAGGATGATGGCTTCCAGTGACCATCAATTGAGGATCTGGTGGGTGCCCAGCAATGTGAGGCTTAAATGAGATATTTCCACTTCAACAAGTCAAGTGGTCTGGTCTACCACCATTGGTAGCCTGGCAGGCAGCAGAGCCCTCTCCAATTTGTCAGGACATGAGACATGGGGAGACCAGGAGCCAGCACCCATGCCCACCCAAAAAGCATTCCAAGCATACTAAGCAAGAGGTATGTGATCACGTGAAAGGGAGCATGGCTAGGCCAAGATCTCCTAGGGACAAACGTGTAAGAGGGTCCCAGACTGCTAGAGGTTGGACCTCCAGGCCCTGCAGGAGAAAGGAAGAGAGTTGGCTGTACTGGTACAAGCATCCCCCAGCAAGCTGCCCAGCATTTCTAGGAAGGAGAAAAGCAAACTGCCTTCCCACCTCGGGCTGTACGGTCACAAGTGAGGCAAGGCTGGGCCCAGTCGCCATTTGGGCGGGAAGCCAGCCCCAGGTGCGGCAGGAAAGGGTGGCGCTGGCTCAGTGGCTGTAGCTCCTCGCTCTGACCCAGTGGGGGCCCTGTGCGGTGCTGAGGGCACAGCGAGGCCTCAGGCGCTGTTGGGCAGGGACACACACACACATACACACAGAGAGAGACAGACCATTAGAGGATGTGCAGCAGTCCTGCAGGGGGCATGGGTTGAGGCCACCCAGAGCCCTGCACCACACCTGCCGTCCCCTGGGCTTGGAAGCTAGTCATAAAGAGCCTGTTGACTACAATCTGACCCTAATTATGTAATTCAGACTCAAGGTCTGGGGGAACTACAAACTTCAGAGCTGGAGCATCATTCAGCCCAGTGGAAGCCCAGCAAGACCCACGGCTCTGGTTCAAAATAAGGAGGAAGGGCCAGATCAAACAGACTCCTGTGCCCTCAGTCTTGCTCCTGTGTGTGGAATGTTCCACAGACTGTTCATGAACATGATGCTGTTTCAGCTCCTTGCTTTGTACCCTCTAGCTTCCAAAGATACAATGACTATAAGAGGCACGGAAAGAAAAGTGCTACTCCTCTGACCATACATCACAACCACAGCAGTGTAGAACAGAGAAAGGCAAGGGAATGGGACACTAAGGCAATGCAAAGACAACCTTTTCTGGGGCGATGGCAGGAAGGTCCTTGAGAGAAACAAATCAATTTCCCTACTTAAAGGGCAATCTTGGAGTGGGGGTGGGAGTTCAAACTTAAGCCCTAAAGGAGACCAATGTAGATTAAGGTTGAATCATTTTCAACTGGTTTCACAGAGGTCACAATCATCATTTAAGCAAAGCAGTTCGAACTAAGAGGAAATAAGAATTTAAAATGACACAAGAAAATGCTAACCTGCACCACACTTGATAGTAATTTAGAATTCCTAGAGAGCTTGACTTCAATACGTATATCTCTCATTTGCCACGTTTCTCAAACTCTTGGTGGCAGGTGATACAAAGTCTAACTGAACCTGCAAAAGCAGGAAATGTTAGTAAGTGGTCCAGTGACAAAATCATTAACCAAGCAAGGGTTGAGATGGATTTGTCAAACTACAAACAACTTCCTTTAAAAAATTTTTGTGCTATGCTGATATAGTGTTACTAATTCTTAAAAAATCAGGAAATGAAAACCTGCACTGTAAAACACAAACAAACAAACAAAAAAACCCTGCACTTTTGTTTTTGCAGCCAGAAGATACAATTTTTGTGTCATACCTTCCCCATAAAACAAGGCCACCAGAGCCACCTTGCTGAGTATGGGGTCCATACTTGGCAACACAGCACAGTGAAGGTGGAGGAAGGGCAATGTTCCAAGAGTCTTTCAGTGAAAAACCAGGATGCCAACATGGTTCAAAGACCAGCATCCATCACTTCCTGAACACCACTTCTACTCCCACAGATCAATTCTGAACCAACAGCAAAGGCCTACAGTGACCCAACATGCAAATCCAAAACACAGGCCGCCTCTACCCAGTGCAAATACAACTATGCAACCAAATTACAGGGACTGGAATTCATACTAACCACATGTAAAGGTTTCTTCACAGTTTTCCCTCTTTTAAACAGAGAAATCAAACCTCCATCCTGTGTGATGCTGAAATAGAATAAATGCACTGAGCCATTCAAGAGACCTGCAGCTCATTCAGTAGGAAACAATTTAATACAAGATTAAAGAAACTTGGAGAAAAAGGAAGAAAAAAAAGAAGAAAGATATCGGGGTCAAGGATGTAGATCAGCAGCACAGTGCTTGTCTGGCAAGCACACGGCCATGAGTTCAATTCCTGATACGGGGGGGTGGGGGGTGGGGGGTGGAGAGATTAAAGAAATAAGATGATCAAGAAAAAAACACTTATTTTTTTTCTGGCTACCAGAGCCAGTTCCCCATTGTTTGAGCAGGACAATCTTTTTGTTGGCACACCTTCTCAGAAGGGAAATTCTAAGACCTACCTTAGTATCCATCTTTTCCTGAGAACCCAGGAAGCCACAGGGGCTGCTCTACCCAGAAGCAGGAGACCCACAGAGCACTCAAAGGACTCAAAAGCCTTTTAGTGACCATATCTCAATCCAGACCAAGGGAAGTTGTCTAGGTTGCCAAAAGCTGAGAATTGAGAACAGAGTCAGGCCCTGGGGTGGCCACTACTCCCTCAGCACCAGGGCACACATACCATACTACCTACCTCCCCCTCCCCTGCTGCCACATCTGTACAAGGTGTCCAGTCACACAAGGGACAGGGAGCACTCTGATTACTCACAGCCATGATAGGAGGCTGGAGATCCCCCAGCCTTGCCGTACTCCTGCTCCGAGTAGCTGGTTGACAAGTTGGGCTGACTGGAGCCACGGCCAAAAGTGATTTGGTTGCTACCCATGCCAGTGGCCACCTGGGCCATGCGCTCTTTGGTTTTGAGAGCCTGGGCCCGTTCAGCCTTCAGCCGTTCCTCATCCTTCAGAAGGGCCACCAGTTGCTTTGATTTCTCACGCACATTGATGCCCTGGTCCTTGCCATCACGGTCAATGTACTGAAAGTCTTTCAGAGTCTGGATGGCGAATATGTTCTCACGACACTGCTGGGCCACACGCTCAGAGCCTGTCTTGATGAGGTAGTCCAGCAGTGTCAGTGCCTTGTACACGTGCCGCCAGTTCTTGCCGTGGTCATTGAGCCGCTTCCACACCATGCTCATGATCTCTGAGAAGGCCACCACATTGTAGGTCAGGTCAGCAATTTCAGTCATCAGAGAGCTGGATGGGCCCCACGGGTCATTAGAGGTGGCTTCCCGGACTTTAATTTCAGCCTCTGAGTAATTGTTCACAATGTTTTTCATCTGTCGTCTAATAGATGAAGTCGTCATTTTTATTTTGTTACAAATTTAAAGCCTTTCAAAAAGACAGAATTTCCTATGTTCAGTAAGTCCACACCCTATGAAGGTCCACTTTCTGTGATCAAGCTGGGGTAAGAGGCTTGAAGTCATTTCCTCCTCTGGAGCCTCAGATCCAAGAAACTAGCCATGACCTAAAGGAGAAAATACACTCCACTGTGAGCCAAGCAGTCCACAAGGGAGAGAGAGCCTAGCTAAAGTACTTCCATACATGGCAGGTACTGGGTGACTAGCTGAGCTTTGTGAATGGACAGACTGTCTATTCTGGGGTGAAAGAGTCCATCCTGCTTTCAAAACTAAGACAAGATCAGTAACATCAGTGCAAAGTGTGGTGGTGCACACCTGTAATCCCATCACTCAGGAGGCTAAAGTAGAAGGACTGCTGTGAGTTCAAGGCCAACCTGCCCTACATGCTGAGTTCAAGGTCAGCCTGAATTACACTGCAAGACCCTGTCTCCAAAATAAAGTCAATAAAATCAATTAATAATGAATAACATTAAAATCAAGTTTAAGCCTGAAAAAAATTATTGTACTTTCAAAAGGCTTTCATTGGACAACAGATATTTCGTGAGTTGCACTTTCAATGTCAAGTACAATCAGGACATTGGGAAGCTGAATCAGACAGATTTATTTGTGTGTGTGTGTCTGTGCACATGTGTACCCAAGTGCTGGAAATTAAACCCAGGGCCTTGTGCATGCTAAGCATGCACTCTACCATTGAGCTACATGCAGCCGAATTCAAGTTTCAAAACTGTATGCAGGGCAAGAATGTCATTTCAGGGTTCTCTCAACTTCAAAGTGCCTATCTCTATCTTTAAGATTGCTAAACATTTGATGTTGGTCCACCAGGCATCCAACCACTCA